TTTGCATGAGAGTCTTAGAACTGTGTAGTCGTTCGGAGTCGTGGAGCTGATCAAGTGTGTAGATTGAGTGTAGATCATCGAATTTTTACGCGAATTGATGTCGATGAATCCTTTAAGTGTAGAACAGAGTACAGAATTCTAAAATATGAACATGTGAAGAAATATGCTTTAATGGAGTGAAGAATAAAAGCTACAGAGAACTGATCGTATATACAACATTTGGTTACATCCACACCGTTTTCCACTGTTTCACGAAAATCAGCAGATTTTTCATAAATAAATTTATTTTTAATGATAAGACTTTGCAAGTTAAAATCTGGCCAATATCCTGTCTGAATGACTTATAAACCTATAGAAAAGGTGACTTTAGGGATTTAAAATCCAAACAATTTCACTGAGTTGCATGCCCTTGGATCCCCCCTTAGAAACTTGCGCCGTCGGCGCTCATCTAAGAAATCGGTCAGTATTTCCGCGCCTGTAAAATTATTATAAACTCAGTAAGTGACATTTAAAATGGTTAAGTGCTCGATTTTCGATGTGTGCTGTAAGTTTGATTTCTGAATTTGTTTTATATTTTACAACAACTTATTTGCGTAAAAAAGATGATTCGGTAAAAGGAAGGATAAATCCAAAAAGAGTGCCAAAAAAAAGAACTAAATTCTCATACAATACTAAGCTCCTCCTTGAAGATATGATATTAAATACAATATGTAAACTGTAGATAAAAAATTTCAGATATGATATGTTTTAAGTGTTAATTAGCTGTGAATAAGTCAGTCATAAATAGTAGAAACGTTTTCAACACAACAATTTTCGTTAATAAGAGTTGCCGCGAAATTACCAGATGTCTTCCATCTTGTCCAATCTTCAGGCTCAATCTTAGCCTGTTCCAGGCGTTCAGATAGTGGGGAGCGGTGCGAGGTAAAAAGGAGCGCGAAAAAATAGAAACAAGGGAGGAGGAGAGGTGAGAGAGGGAACGCCCGCAAGATTTGTTTCATAAAATAGACTCTTCCGCCCACTCAGACTGCATCAGCTGTAGGTGGTCCTCACTTGTCAATCAAGACTGGTGTTACAGCCTCATACATTTATTATTTTTCTTGCGAATAAATCATGGGTCGCACTTGAGGAAAGTTCCCGTCTTTGCCGGCTAAAAAACCACGAAAATTCGAAACCGTAACCGGAAAAGAAAACTTTTAGTCAAATCGAGGAGGGTCGCACTAGTAGTTACTAGTGGGAGTCAATTGTCGTTGTTTTGACAAATTGAGAGCTAAAGTGGGCCAGATACCAGAGAACATTAACTCTTCGTTGTCCGATCATAAGATCTTTTTCCTCCTTTTCCAGTTTCAGGAGGGTGGGAGAGATAAAGAACATAAAGTGCTTAGCTGCGAAGACTGCAATTCAGTAGCTCGTAGAATAACAAGCCTCTGACTGTACTTGTCTGCTGGGTAGACTGTAACTGGCTCGCCTGTAAAGAGTTCCCGTAAAAACGTTGAAATGGTGAAGGATTATAAACTTGTGAATTGCTCGCATGAATAGAGTTTTCGTAAACGTTGAAATGGCGAAGAGTAGTAGCAGCCTCGTCCGTTCACGAAGAAAGCGCGAGGGTCAGAAAATGTCTGCGATTGTCAGTCAAAGATCTTCAAATTGATCGTGTCTCAAATTGATCACGTTTCCCTGACAAGCGCTGACAGTTACTGCTGTGATTCCCATTGTTCGGCTCGAGTTTTCCAAAATCTGCCTGCCCCACCCAAGTACTACGGCATCTTTGATGTATTTTGCGGTTTTAAAAGTTTTTTCCAACTTGAAAACTTGGGGTCGCACTTGGTAATGTGCCCCGATGATAGATTTCTACCGCAAGGTAAACAAATTCTTCAAAAAATTTGCTAAGTGCGACCCATGCAAGCGAACAAGCGAACTGATTACTCTATTTGAGCCACGCCCAAATAATAAGACACAAAAACATCACTGGACCAATGCCATTTTAGAGCACACATCCATACACCATCAAAGACTACCGTGTGGCACAAAATTTTTGCGGGTTCTAATTTTTGCGATTTTTCCAGCGATCCGCGCAAACAAGTTCCCGAGAATAAAAATTATCGTAAAAAAATTTTTTTACGCACAATTCTTGGCAAGTGACAAGGCGGTCATGTTGATGGCGTGTTGTTGTCAATTGTGGTCATCAGTACAATATAATTTTTTGTCGAAGAATTTACATGAAAATACGGTTTAGTTCCCAGAGGAGAGAAATGCTTTTGTTATTAATCCTAACACACCACCAACATGGCAGCCGAGACGTCGCTTGCAAACCAGCAATAAAAACAATAAGTATTATGAATGCTAGGTAATGGGTACTTTATCATTATGGCAAAAATTAATTCTCAGCAAGAAAAACCAATCTGTCTTTATTGCAAAAATTAGTTCACGCAAAACACAAAAAATTGCCAATCCGCAAAACTAAACTCCCGCAAAAATTTCGTGCCACACGTTTACATGTACTCATGCCGTATCCCAAATAATGTTTAAAAGCTAACCGTTTTCAGTTCAGTGCTTAACCCTAATAACCCTAATCACTACAGATCCTGCCTCGTACCCAGACGTCTCTCTTTTTCGATGAAAATGTGCGCGCAAAGGAAGGCGGGAAGGAGACAACTGTACCCTTCCCATGGTCTCTTGCGGTTCATCACCAGTCACTCGTTTCGCGCTCGCCTCTGCCATACGAAAAACGGAGCACCTGAGGAGGAGGCTGGCCCTGGGAATTTTCTTGGTAATGATGGAACACGCCGCGGAAAATGGTGCAAGGCTTGGATCTTTTGGAAAGAAAACGGGGAAAAACAGTGTTATGGAAAGGCAAAATGAACAGCAAACAACAGTGAGCGACGATAGGTTTAAGGAACAGCTGCTCTGTAAATTAGATGAGCTGAGGAAAGCTAACTTTCTTTGCGACACAATCGTTCGGGTCGAAGGAGAAGATTTTCCCGTTCACAAGAATGTTCTATGTGCCACAAGCGATTATTTCAAGGCTTTCTTTTCTAGTGACCTACAAGTCAAAGAAAGCCAGAGCAGCTTAGTAGAACTAAAAAATATGAAATCAAGCACGATTGCAGAAGTGCTCCGATTTATGTACACTGGAGAAGTAAACATGAGCTCGTCAAACGCACAAGATCTTATCATCGTCGCTGATTATCTGATAATTCCACGATTGAAAACAACAGCTGCGGAGTTCATTGGGAAGTCAATAAATGCCTCAAACTGTTCAACAATGGAATCCTTTGCTTTTCAATATAACTGCGATGCGTTGATTCAGGCTGTCTTAAATTATAAATGTAAACATTTCCTTACTTACGTAAAATCAAACGATTTTTTGGACCTTGATGTAGAGAAAGTGAAAGAATTGGCGTGTCTTGACGATCTGCATATTACTAAGGAAGAGGAAGTTTACGAGGCAGTTATTGAGTGGGTGAAACATGATTTAACATCAAGAGAATGTTTCCTCCCAGATCTGCTAAATTGTTTAAGGTTGTTCTCTCTGTCAAAATACAGTTTGGAGAAGTTTTTAAAGAAAGAAGAGTTGATCGTGAAAAGTCCTGTTTGTTCAAACATTTTGTATAATGGATTGAACTTTTTTGTTTTTCCGGATCGATTTTTAAGCAAGTCTCTTAAGCATCGCTCATCCATTCAGAATGAAGAACATGTTATAGTAGTTATCGGCAGTGAAAGTGATCTTGAAGAAGACATTAAGACTGACTGTTATGTTCTTTCTACAAAACAGTGGAAGTCACTAGCTCCCATACCCGAAAGCTGTGCCTTGGATATGTATAATTTGTATGTTTCTGCCGTTTGTGGTGGGCTTTTGTATAGAATTGATGGTGTAGATGGCAAAGTCACCTGTTATAACCCACTGGAAAATGCATGGAGAGCAAGAACAACAAGGTTTCTTAGCAGTTGTAGAGGTTGTGCAGTGGCATCATTCCACGAGGAACTTTATTTGTTTGGTGGAATGATACATGAAGATAATGACTTAGATACGGAGGTGATGTTCCAAGATGCATTTAAATACAATCCATTGAGCAATGCATGGACGAAAGTAGCATCAATGCAAACCGGCCGCGCTTATCACTGTGCAGTAGTTGTGGAAGACCTCATTTATGTGATTGGAGGTTGTAATGGCCAGATCTCCCTGAAGAGTGTCGAGACATATAATGCATCAACCAACCAGTGGAGAAGAGCTCCAGATATGGCAAATCCCCGTAAGCATGGTGCAGCAGTTAATGCTGGTGGGAAGATCTTTGTCACTGGGGGGTACTGTGACAATGATGAAACAAGTGTGGAGCCTAGTTGTGAACTTTTTGATCCACTTGTTAACCAGTGGAGCCTGCTACCTGGACCTTACCAACCTCGCTGTTGTTTTGGCATCGTGAGTGTGGATGACATGGTGTATATTTTTGGTGGTGAGGATTCAGAACAGTGGATAAGTACTTCTGAGAGTTTTGACTTCAGAAGCAACAAATGGAATGAAGAAGCTGAGAAACCTCTGCCAATGCCAAGGAATGGTACACGGACCCAAGCATCTTTGTTGAAAGTCCCAAAGAAGTTTATTAAAAGCTCAACTGGTCGACTGTCTGTATCCTGAAGATCACTTAAACCATGCTTATAACTTACAGCATTAGTGTTCACTTTTTTCCAAAAAAAATTATTTATCTTTTTTGGAAGATGATGTGTCAGTTTACCTTGGGAGCAGAGGTTTCTCTCTTGCATGGCTTTTAGTATTAACAAAGTCAGTTGCATAGCTTATTAGTCTTGTAATTGGTTAGTTATATGTGCCCCTGGGCGTAAACAGACCAACTATGGAACAGAGAAGCCACACAATTGACTTTGTAAATGCTAAAAGTCATACAATAGAGAAACCTCTGCTCCTGGGCAGTGAGAAATTAGTAAGGATAAAACCTTCAATTTAATCTGAACTTGAAATGCTGAACAAAAATACAGCTGTAGTTGACTGCGACTATTATCTGTTATGAGCACTGAGTAATATTCTATACTTAATGGTAGATCCCGAGGGAAACAGTTAGTTTTGTTTTCCCTTGAGTCCTGATGTTTCCCGAAACGAAGTCAAGGGAAACATCAGGACTCAAGGGAAAACAAAACTAACTGCTTTCCCAAGGGACCTGACATTAAGTGTTTTGTTATATTTCTAGACTTTCACTTTAACAGCAACAAAAGAATAACTGGAGCGAACCAAAACAGTCGACTTGGTACTTATAACAACACAAATTTAATTCTCAAAACCACTAAATGAATGATTGACAAACTACTTTCCTTATATTATGTGCAACTTTTTCCTCTACAAGCTGCTGTTTCACTTCTGGGATAACTAAAAATCGTCTCTTTTAGCTTGAGGCTTCATGTTTGTGTTGTTGTGTTCATTCACGAAAAAGAAAACTGGCAATGTTTTTCCTGCCTTCTGTCACGCCACTTTCCACCATGCTTTGATCACGTGCTGTAATGTATCCTGAGTGGAGTACATTGCTTAATGTATCACGATCGGGATACATTTGATTTTAGTCAAGGCCACATGACCAAGAATCAACCAATGGCATTCCCTGTTTAGTTGATGATAACAATGCTTTTCGTTTTACCATTTAAAACATTGGCTTAGGATCCAGGACTGTGCGTCCTATTCTTGGTTGTCACATGACGTCACAAAAATTCAAACTAAGAAACTATCGTTTCTTCTGAGTTTCTAATTTCATGTGGTATTAGAACACCTTAAAACCTTTATACAAACAAATTTTCGGTTCAAAAGGGTTGTTTGTTTTGCAATAAAGGACGGTTGAATTTCCAGGCTTTTGTGTAACACAGCATTTAGCTGGCACGGCTGGGAAAGCTCTTATGTGGGTTAAAAACATTACAGATTGTGAGTTCCTCAAGCGAAGAATTCAGGCATAAGTAGGAAAACTCAACAACAGATGTTTCTGTTGTTTTCCGGCGGCCATATTTGTGTCCCTGAAAGGGACTCAAACATGGCGTCTCCATACAAAGCATTATAAATTTGGGTGAAACTTTTTTTTGAATACCGGTATCTCACATATGAACTATTGCATAGACCCGATTCTTGGCAAGGCTTTTTGCATATTTTATCTTCTTTCATTTCCCAGATTCTAAACTTTCTGTATTAAACGGTTTCCATTTTTATTTCTGCTTTCTCACGTGAGTGAAAACCGAGAATTAAATGCATTATCTTTGGATGACTCAAAGTATGTTGTTAAAAAATTAAACAAGGCTTGCATTTTTTATGATAAGTTTTAATGTGTCTTACAAGGTTAAAGTTACTACTGATAAATATTAATTTTATTACTTGGTTTATCGTTCATTCCAATATTATTTTCACAGATGTACTGTGAAACTAAAAAAACAATAAACACAAGAATAGTTATTTTGGAATGTTATTGTGTTGCAAGGGAAAGGCCTTCAGAAATTAGAAGAATAATTCCAGCCTTGCTTTTTATTGGGAAAGGAACCCCCTTCTGTTGTGTGAATGTCATTCAGGTAAAATATATTAAAGGGATGATTAAAATCTCAATGTTTTCTGTATGTAGAAAACTATTTAGAGTATGCGAATAACTTCTAGTGATATCATGCAACTGCACATATCGGTTATTGTTAGAAATACAGCGTGCCATTAATTCTCTTCCAAAAGGTACATATGTCTGGACCTCTTTGGGAAGAGCCCTCTGTGGTTATTGTCATAAATAACCATTAGATCTTGTTTTTTTTAGGGTCGCTTTATATGGGAAGCCTTCACACTAGGCCATATAGGAAGGTTCCAGCAAGCTGAGAGGAAGAGAAAGCTCTGAATGTATGAATGAAGAAAAGTTATGAACCGTGAAATTTAAACCGTGATTTACATGTACCTTACCACGCTGCCACTGAATTTGTGCAAGTTTCTAAAGTGAAGCCTAACTCAAATTTAAGACCTGGTTTGATCAAGCACATCACCTGGATCGGTTAGTGGTGTTATGTTCTAACAGACCCCTCCCCTCCGAAGATGAGGGAACCCCTCTCCCCCTCCCCCCAGACGACAACGGAGAACCAAAACGTATACAATAAAGATCTTTCACCATTTGTTTGGTTTTTCAGAATGTTTGTCTCTATGTTTCTGAACTACAGGAGAAACAAAATTCTCAAATGTTTAAGGCTTGTCTTGCAGTGAAATAAAAATAGTGCTGAACAATATCTCCTCCCAGGACGAAAACCCTCAATCACTTAAACATTATGCTACATCATTGAAGTGGGGAGGGAAGGCATACTGCGGCTAGCCATTGACAAGGACGTGAAAAAAGGGATGTGTACAAAAGTTGATAGCAAGGAAGTGGAGATCTAGAAATGCCTAACCTCGCTTCAAGTGAGATATTGCGTAGCGTGCAGCACAAAGTGAATGAAATTTATCAGGCCACGATACAGAACTGTGCTATGTCAGCAGTTGCGAATGCTGTCTGGCAGGAGCCCATAACCTGGAGTGAACAACTCCCATATTGGGGCTATGTCACAGCGTTTTCACGGATGGGTTTATTTTTCGGTACATTTTACAACAATTTTTTTCCGCGAAACTGGAAGCTCCATTTGTCTATAACCACATTCGAAGTATATATTATGATGAAGGAGACCAAAACATCATCAAAGTCTGAAGGAGTCTTGTAGGTTTTGCTGAATGATTTGTGGGACTTACACGATATTCTAAATTCGCGCCAAAATTGTTCTAAAAATAAACTGGTTAGTAAAACCGCTGTGAAACGAGCACATAGAAGGTACTTGCTCCTGCTTATGAGCTCCTTTGTCTGATCATTTTAGTAGCGAAAAGATATGAAGCAATTTAAAGGCTACCGACAAGCTCTGAGCGGCATGGTAGCCATGGTTATGGTAATTTATCCCCGGTTAGTAACGTCTGCGAAATGGCGCCGAAATCCTTGTTCCGGGCCTTAGGCTAATCAAGGCGCGTACTCAAATCCTGGTACACAGGTGGGGCTCCAGTAGAATAAAGATTTCGGCGCTATCTAAACACCATTTTTCATGAACAATTTGAATAAAGCATATAGCGTAGTCCGGAAAAGCACTTACTTTCTTAAATTAGCCCCATAAGAAGAAGATCTGGAGGTCGAATGATTTCTTAAACCGCGGCGTAAGTTAGACTTAAGATACCGTCGGGAAAATAAACTTTTATTGCATATTTGATTTCTGCTAAATAAAGTGAAATCGTTAAGGAAATGCTACCAGTATGTTTCCTTACTTAAAAAAGAAATGACACGTGAAAAAAGTCGTAAGTTTCGCGCACATTCCAATTGCGAAATATCATCGCAGGTGTCGTTTTAGCGCTGAGGCCTTCAACTGCTTACGGTCCACACGTGGACCCCACAAAAGTAAAGAAAGATGGAGTCAATCAAGGTTTAGAACGCATGATTCTTCCAAACACGCTTAGATGTATACGTTGGTATGTTACAAGGACAAGGCCACGTTATTTCCAGTGATCTTGCGTATCTTTCATTAAGGAAGTTACTTTTCAGAGAGTTCTGAATAAGAATGAAAGTGTGTTACATCCTCCCTCCGCGACGTATCTGACAAATTAACTCAAAGGAGCTGATTCCATTTCAATCAAGTGCGCCGGTGATCATTGTGAACCGCAAAGTCGACCTGAACAAGGCCACCTTCATTTTCCGACGCAGTCGTCACGATCTGCATAATTCTTCATATCACACTGAGCATCATTCAATAACTGTTAAATATCACGACCTTGCCTATTTTGCCCACGAACACATCTGCACATGTCAAGATGAGGATTGTGATTCAAGCTTTGATCGATATCTTTCTTTGATTTATGTGGGGTCCACGTGTGGACCGACAAAATTGCAAAGCCGACTGTATTTCAAGTCGTCTTGCGGGGTATTGGGAAAAGTTTTCAATCAGCAATAACCGCGCCACGGATGAACCTCACTGGCTACAGTAATGCCACTGTGCAAAGCTTACTATAACACCTTTCAAAGGAAGTATTTGTGGCAGCTGGGGACACATTCACTGTAGTATGTGATTTAGTTTCCCGTAATCTTTAGGTGACTCCGTTGTTTTGCACTACGCATTGCCTACTGCACATAACAGGTACCGGCGATTTTCGCCCGGCGCTTAAAGAGGTTAAAAATACTGATTCTAAAGCCCAAGAATAATAATAATAGGTCTTTATTGAAAAGCTTAAAATGCCGTATAAGAACAATTAAAAACAACGTTAAAAGACTATTACATTAAATTGCTACTTTATATTTGGAAAAAAGCGCAGTAATAAAACTATTTTGAAGACGCTGGGTATTAACCCTAGGGCAAAAACTGTTTGAATGCGGAGGTCCACGCAACACGTATATATAACTGAGTGGTTCCTCTTGCTAGCCTGCGAGCAAGCTCTCCTGTTTGGGCGCCCCTAGCGGCTTCGCCGCTCGCTCGCGCGTTCTCGCGAGACTCGCTTCGCTCGCCCAAATAGGATAGCTTGCTCACAAGCTACCTCTTGCCAGATCTCTAATTAAAGAGATGCTGTCGCCAGACGTGACTTAAAGTGTAAAATAAAACAAAACCTGAATGGAGGGCTAGCACTACGGCAGAGGGCTGATCTAGTATAGGCTAATATTTCGGTTAACAAAATTTGCCTTCCTCAGGGCTATTTTTCCTTCTTCCCTTCCCATGAGACCCCGCACGCGCCTCAACCTAATCCCCGGTCTTCTCTCACCCCAAAAGACACTTAAATAAATAGCGACTGAGTACGAGTCTGCCCTCATGCATATATGCATACGTCATGTAGAATGAAACGAAGAAAGCATTACAGGACTACCACTGACATACCGAAGTCCCCCTTCTCAAATAAGCCCCCCTCCCTCCTCTAGAAACGGATCCCATCGACCGTAGACCGTAGCCCGCTCGGAGACCTCATGAAATTTACACAACGTAGTTTTCCCCTTCACTAATTACGGTCAAGCACTGCCTTTACAGATTAGAACGATGTTCCGCAGTTTCCTCTGACTGCCATGAATATTTTTTAGGATTGAAACAGCTTACAGTATCATGATCATCACTTAGAATATATACACATCCCATACACACTGCTAAGTACAGATTAGCTAGGGTTAAGCACTAAAAGCTGCTCCGACATCTCAGAATTATAAGACAACTAGAGAAATTGCTCAGAATGCAAAAAGTTGCTCGGAATACGAGAAGTTGCCAAAAAGTTGCCGAGCAACTTGTGGATAGCCCTAAAATAGAGGATCTTTAAAAAGACTAATTCTCGATTGGTTTCTCTGCTTCAATATTGTAGTGCACATGCATTTTTGACTTCTTATAAACAGCTTCAATGTCGAGTGTACGTAATCTATCAAAATTTTAATAACCTCGTCTGATACGTTTCTGGAACACTGCCCACCTACTCCTCCCTTAAGTCAACATTTTGAGAAGTAAGTGTTGATCTTGGCCTAAGAGAGGGTAATGATCCATAATATTATCTCTACAATATTGTATTATTTCTTATCAATGACATTAATCCGTTTATCTGATTATCTGTAGACTGTATTTCCTTTTTTTTCTTCTTTTTCTTTTTTCAGTCTGATTCTTCGTTCTCCTTCGTTCTATGAAAGGAGTAACAGTGGTTACGCAATAAAGACAAAAAAACCATTAAACGACAATCAAACACCAAAATGTAGTGGAATACATTGCAGGTAAGTCTTTTTATTCATTTCATTAAGGTTTATCCTTATTTAGCGTTCGCAGATCTCAGTAATATATTTCTCATACAAAGTCTCTTATATTTTCAACGGTCGCCTGTAACGCGACACCGGCGCGTCACCTATGGTTATGTAAATCACATTACACCCTTCCCTCATTTGTAACGTGAGTTTGTTTTCGCCTGTGGGGAGAGGGGTACATTTTCGGACCGTCGCATAAACTGGGGGGTACGTTTTAAAAAAGGAACCCTTTTAAAAAATATGCCTTAGTTGGTTGAAAAAAATCACCCCCACACCAGGAGCCCATCATGCATCATACCCCCCACCCATAACTAACATACAAAAGCCCCTTATCCTGCGTAGCTGGCGGGTTTTGTTATGTGTTTTTTTCTTCTGTGGTCGTTTCGTAACTATAAAGCCGTGCGAAATCTACACCGAAAATAAAAAAAAGAAAACGATGGGGAAGGGGAGGGGGAAGAAGGCAGTTGGAATTGATGGTGTAGACCGCAAAGTCAGCTACTATAACCCACTGGAAAATGCATGGAGAGCAAAAACCACAGAGTTTCTTAGCAAAAGAGGTTGTGCAGTGGTATCATTCCACGAGGAACTTTAGTTGTTTGGTGGAATGATACATGAAGATAACGACTTAGATATGGAGGTGATGATCCAAGATACATTTAAATACAATCCATCAAGCAATGCATGGACGAAAGTAGCATCAATGCAAACCCGCCGCGTTTATCACTGTGCAGTAGCTTTGGAAGACCTTATTTATGTGATTGGAGGTTCTAATGGCCAGATCTCCCTTAAGAGTGTTGAGATGTATGATGCATTAACCAACCAGTGGAGGAGAGCTTCAGATAAGGCTAATCCCCGTAAGCTTGGTGCAGCAGTAAATGCTAGTGGGAAGATCTTTGTCACTGGGGGGTATTTTGATAATGATGAAACAAGTGTGGAGCCTAGTTGCGAAATTTTTGATCCACTTGTTAACCAATGGAGCCTGATACCTGGACCTTGCCAACCTCGCTGTTGTATTGGCATCGTGAGTGTGGATGATATGGTGTATATTTTTGGTGGTGAGGATTCAGAGAAGTGGGTGAATAC